CGATGCATTAAGGGATGCATCGATGCATGAATATTTTGAAGCTATTTTGGGCACTGATGCACCTATAGTGCATCGGTACACCCCTAAAGAAAAAAGTGAATATTAGTTTATTAAGTTCGTTTAAGTTGTTAGTATCGGATTACAAGGTGTAGGTATCTGATAATTGCCTTAAAATGTATAATTATGTAGATCCATAGCCTAAACAAGTTCCATAATCATTGACAAGTAAGATCGATCAAGGGGAAAGATAAGAGATTGTAATTGAATAGTGAGGCCAGGTGAGTGCATACGAGTGCAATTTTTATGATATGAAGTGATATGTATGATATGACAATGTGTATATAACTTGGTTAAGAAAAATAGATACAAGAATATATGATTAAAAGATAAAGAACGAAAATAAGACTTTTAAAGAGAATAAATAAATCCATTTAATATGATGTTATGCGTAATCATGGTGAAACAATATACTTGTTTGTGATGTGTATATTGTTAGATACAAGAGCGTGCGAATAAGAGATATACATGATAATAATAATAATAATAATAATAATAATAATAATAAGAATTAGGAAACGATATGAATATGTCTGTATTGATGTCCTGATCCATAATATGTGTTATAGTTTAATATGGTTGTATGGAATGTGCATTGTAGGAGCTAGTAATGAAATGTTATATTTAAGTTTATTTATGCCTCACTAAGTAATCGACTTAGCGTGCGAATGTTTCACACGTAGGTTTGAAAAGCGAGAAGAGAAGCTAAGAGGAGCAAGAAGGTCAGTAGTTTCCTTACAAAGATCAGATCAGAAACATAGGGAGTATATGTATTTTGTTGCATGTAATTACAATATTTGGATTGAATATGCTCTGATCGGTTTGAAAAACAATTTGATTTTATTTATTAATGAAAAGTACTCATTTTTGTTGTAAATAGTAAATTTTAATATTTTGTAGATTTGTAAAGACAAAGTTTTGAAAAGTCAATGTGACACCTCAGACTCGTATCCGGGTCGGGTACGGGTTGGGGGTGTTACATAAGGTATGTGAGTACTGTGAGGTTGTGTACTATGATGTCACCACAGCTCGTATAAATACACCGATGTGCCACGTAGAATTGCACCGAAATGCCGCGTAGAATTACACCGTAGTGCCATATAAGATGTCCTTAAGGACCACGTAGAAAATTCCTTAAGAATCATATATATATATACTAAGGATCAAGTATGTGTCTCAAAAGACATCACACATGTTCCAAGGAATACATATATGTCCCAAAGGACCGCGTAAACCCTCTACTCTTGGCATGCCAACTATACATATAGTTCTCATCTACATAACATGGGTTTTTCTCAACTTACATAATATATCACGTAGGCATGTCAATTCCTTACCTTCATCACGTAGCTCATGTAACTTTGCATACATATTCATTTAAAACATACTACATAATACACATAGTATGAATTCCTATTACATTTCATAATATGAGATGAATTATGCATCAATGTATTGAATCTAGACTTATCACAAGTCTAGAACTGGATACATTACGATAATCATGTTATGCATATGCACTCACCTATATTTCTTTGCCTTTTCCTCGATTGATCTTACTGGACAATTGTTCTGGAACTTGTTTAGGCTATGTATCTACATAGTAATACATTGATACTTATCAGTATACTAATTAATATATTCTAAACTATCATTTCTTAGGCTAAAAGAGAAGTTATTTTCATCTTTTAATAAAGGTATGTATCGATGCACTCTACAGTGTATCGATGCATTCTTTTATGTGTGCATCGATGCACTACCTGTGCATCGGTACACAAACTACATTCGATGTTTTCTTCCTAAGGGGGTGCATCGATGCACTAATTACACTCGATGTTCATTTATTTGAGAGTGCATCGATGCACATTCAATGTGCATCGATGCACACAACCCATAATTATTATTTTGAGCACGAAAATCCCTTTATAATCATCTCAACACTTCATAATTCACCTCCTTTTATATCCCTAACTTGCATACACTTACTTAAACTAATTATTATCCATTCAATACCTCTAAAACTTAAAAATCCAATCCTCCATATAGAATTTTAGAATCTCACTCAAATTCCAACATGTTCTAATTTTAATTCTAACACCTCATATTTCTTAATTAGCTTGATGACAAGTCAAATCCAACTTCCAATTCTTATTATGAACTCTATTCCAAGATTTCATTCAATGGCTCTTAACCTTTAATCTCTCCTAACTTCATCATCCCTTGATTTTAGGATAACCTAAGCTTAGTTATCATCTAATGATTAATAAGCAACCTTAAATTCATCAAAAATTTAATCAACAAGAAAACTCACCTTTATCTTGCCTTCACGGTGGAGAAGAAGAATGAAGAAGAAGAGAAATCTGGAAACTTTGGTTCTCTCCAATAGCTTCCACGTGGGAATAAAAATATCATCAACTAAGATTTATTTATTTTCCTTATTAAAAGACTCATTTGCCCCTTTAGTTCTCCCTTATTTGCTAATTGATCCTACACAAAATATTTCAATCAATTCTTTGAACTTTTCAATTTATCCAATTTGGTCACTGAATTTTTTTAAATCTCACAATTTAATCACTAACCCGGTATGGAGGATGTTACAGGAAAGCCAAAATGAACCAGCTATGAGCAGGGGGCATTTATTATGGATAGGCCCGTAAACGAACTGAAAGAACACGAATGAGAGTATGTTTATGTTCATTCGTTTAACTTTAGTCGAACAAACGAACGAACATGAGCAACTAAATGAACGAAATTTCTTGTTCGTCAAGGAATGTAGCTTTTCGTGTTCGTTCATAATCGTTCATTAAAATGATAAACGAACACAAACAAACAAGCGTAAACAAACACAAACAAATGAGTATAAACAAACATAACGATCATAAAATTAATTGGGTTTGTATTTGAGAAAAGTTTTTTTCTTTCCAAAAAATTTTAGGATTTATATTTTCTTTAATTGATTTGAGTATTTTTTATTTGGGTTTAAACTTAATTAGGTTTTCAAATATTAATAGGTTTAATGTTAAAATGTATTAGGTATTAATATTTTAAACGAGTTTGGATATTTGACAGAACATAAATGAACGAACGTTCACGAACGAGCTCTTTGTTCGTGTTCGTTCATTTAGTTAAATTAACATAAAAAAATTCATGTTCGTTCGCTTAATAAATAAACATGTTTTCCACCTAACAATTCGCAAACAATTCCCTGGTCATTCAGTTCGTTTACAAGCCTAATTGTGGATAGTAAACTAAAGCCCATGAAGTGTCTGCAAAATACAGGTTGAGATCGGGACACAAAAGATGTATTTGGATGCAAATATGAAGCCCAGTTAATAATCCAACAAAATCTTAGCCCTTAGTTCACCTACAATTCATGCCAAAAATCTTTCTGATACCCTCTGTAAATCATCAATGATTTATGATCAGCGTGTTCTGCTCGTAAATAGGATCAAAGAAAATTCATCAGGAAAATCTCTAAGCGTATCTCATCCATCGATAAACAAAAAGGGCCATAAAAATCTGGACAATAAAGCCACAAGAGCAATTAAGAATGATCGAAAAAGGGATTCTTTAAAGAAGAAGAAAAGGCGGGACAACCACCCTTTGTATCAATATATTCTGATGAAATACGAATGCCACTTACATCTGTGTAGCCCAGTATGATTACAAAGAAAACAATCTAGAAAATGAAGTGAAGCTTAAGCACGCTCCCCACGAATGCGCCTTGCAAGTTGAATATCCTTGGGCATGATAGTAACCCTCTTGGCATGGATTGCACACAAATTGGTATCCTCAAACAAACCCACTAGGTACACTTCCTGCAATATATATATGTATATATGAGGGATCATGTCGGTTTAACTGACAATAGAGCGATAAATATGGAACTACAACGCAGGCAGGAAACATGAAATTGAGCTTGCCATAGCAGGCAAGTTCAATGTTTTGAGGACTTTGCATCAGTCTCCATTAATTCCATAATGAGGAGATTAAAGGATTTGACAGATTACACAGTTTCTTCTGTAAGGCGCAAGGATTATTATTAATAATATTAAATATTATTAGATAACTTTATTATTGTTACTTATCAATTTTAATTGTTAGTCTTAATTATTATTATTATCGTATAAGTTATTAGTCATTATTATATAGATCTATATTTTATATACATATATAAATATGCTAGCATATGCGGAAATAAAATGGATTTCATTACTAAAATATTTGTTTCCATTTTACAGATCACTCTAATTGAACCCAATACAAAGCAAGCCCAAGAATGCCTAACAAGTGACCTTAATCAACCCAACCAAATGCCCAACAAGCTCAACCCTATCTACCAGTAAGCCCACATGCAAGAAGCAGGCCCGTGTTTTTGAAGATCAAGGATAGGGTTAATGAAACCCTAGCATCTAGCGCCGCCAGCATCTCGACCGTTAGATATTGTTCAGTTCAACGGTCAGATACAACCCCAAACTAGGGTTTTAATCCTAGGTATATCACCAGTTGCCGCCGTCGTCGTCGAAGCTCAACCGCCGTTTTACCCGGGAGTGTGACGCACGCATGAACCATTGAGATGCCCACACGCCGTTTGGTGATTCTCCAACAGCCACGCAACCGAGTTTGGTCCCCACTAGCTCACTCGTCCCCTTCCACGGACGCTCGTGCGGGTGCCCCTGCCTTGTCCCCTCTGCCACAACAGTGGCAGTGGCAGAGGCCTCATTCGCACAACAAAACAGAGGAAGGACGAGGGTTTCATTTTGAACCCTTGATCAAGACACCGCGGATGGATAGAACGGGAAAGGGCCCTCATTTCTTCTCCTCTCGCATGCAAAACAAGAAAAAAAACAAAAGAAATTGGAAAGGAGTCTCCTTTCGTTTTTTAGAGGCATATAACAATCAACAACAACAAAAAACAAAAGAAAAAGAGGAAGGATAGAGAGAAAATCGTAAAAAACACAGAAATAGCTCACCTCTCTCTTCGAAGGTTACCACCGCATCGTCACTGGAGTGAAGAGAGCTTTCTCCACCGAAGGTAAAACCTCCTCTTCTTCGAGTTTGTGGCGTAAGGGTCGAAGGGGTTTGTTTTAGGGCTTCTAGGGTTTGAAGAAGGGGGTTTTGTGGCGTTTATCCTCGTCGTGGCCGGCGCCCGTTCACCTTCCTCGGCGGGAAGAAATGAGAGAACAAAGAGAGGGTTGAGAGTTTTTTTTAAGGCCTCTGTTTAAAAATAAAAAAAAAGGTGGCAAATGAGGGGATAGTAGCCGATTTTGGATTTTGGTTTGGCCATATATATCAGCGTGCAAACGACGCCGTTTAGCGGGCTGGAGGCGTACGTTTTGGAGCATGGGTAAATCCCATTTTAGGTCGTTCGTACTTTGTAATATCTTATATTATTCACTAAATGAAGTTTCGATTTTGCCCTTTTATTTTACATGCGTTATGTTTTGATCGTTTTTGCTTGTTTATTTGTATTTTGTTCTGTTTATACATTCGATGTATAATTTTAATAATTTCTGTTTTAGTCCCAAATTTCATTTATGGCCTTATTGAGTTCCCAGGACTCGTATTGTCTGATATTTTTATTTTATGCCTTAATGTTTTCTTTTCTTGTGATCGTGGCCTTAAAGTTACCGTATTTTTATTTTAGTAATAAATTTATGGTTTGTCTAGTTCTTGTTAGTTCACACTTTGACCCCCTCCATGTCTGCATTTGTTGCATCTAAGTCCATTTTATAACTTGTACATACACAAACGTTTACTTGCTATATTGTGTAAGCATATTACATATATGTTTCTTTTATTTAGTTTTGTATGTAATAAATGTATATATTTTTAGGCCTTATTATGTTATACAAGTATTGCATTATATATGCATATATTTTTATATTTATTAAATGTGTTTTAAACCCTTGTATATTTATATATTACTATTTTCATTTCATTTTATAAAATATCTATTTGTCGATATTTTTTATATCTATTATACTTGATACTAATATTTTTTTAATATTTCATTCGAATATTTTAAAGAATATTTATCGTAGAATGGGTATGAAAAGCACAACTTGATAGAAGTAGTGTGATTGAAGATGACATTTGAACGAAAGGTGAACTTGAAATAAATCGAGTCTATTTTGAGTAAAAATGGTTTATTCATATATTCTTTTAATGCCTTTTTTCAAATTTATTTTAAATAAAATAAAAGCATTTTTAATTTTCCGACCTTCTTTAATTATACTGATAGTGCAAATTTCGTAGAGTTGTTCGAATAAATTGATTATTAATTATTCTTTATTTTAGTCTAAATAATAGCAATGTGTATAATTTCTTTAATAACATGTTTCATTATTTTATTCGATATTTTATTCCATGTATATTCGATTTACATAATTTTGTTTCCATTAAATAAAGAGGGAATGTTTATTTTATAGAGAATAAATTGATGCGATAGACTTCCCATTGGAGGATGTGCAAATCCCGTAATTTATTTTCAAAATAGGGAATATATGTTAACAAATAATTCGAAGTAAATTGATCAACGTTTAATAAAATGGATTGTACTTTAGTTTTTGACATGTATTTCTAACTTCCACTATGGTGACAACATATAAGTGACTAGGTACAAATTTTGGGCGCTGTGAGGGTGCTTACCCTTCCCCCCAATTAATTGACTCCCGAACCTAAAATTAATCTTTGGCAAGCGCAAGCCAATTTTTGTCTTAAAAATGATTTGTCTTAAAATTGTTTAAAAGACTGTTGAACCATGTGTTATAATATTTTGATATAACAAATTAAGGCAAAATGTTTTTTGACTTGAATTGAATTTGTTCAAAGTTTTCAAAAGTTTTCAAAAATAATTCAAAGTCCATTAAAATATAATTTGAGCACAAATGCTTTTTTTGGATATGCAGTACCGATATTGTTCTTATAGTATCGATACTGCATGAACAGTACCGATATTGTTCATGTGTTCATGCAGTACTGATACGAAAGGTAAGAGAAGAAATCGATACTCTCTAGGTAGTATCGATACTACCAGTTGTTTTTCAAATAGCTCAAATTCCATAATGCAAAATAGGTATCGATACTTAAAGGGGTACCGGCATTGCTTCGCATAGTAGTATCGATACCATGAGCATAGTATCGGCTAGTAACGGCTAATTGATTTAAAATTATAAAGGAAGTATCGATACTCATTAAAGGAGTATCGAGACTCCCTATCCTATGCAGTTTTATTTTGGAGAAAATTATCCCCAACGGCTCCAATTCATTCCCAACAGCTAAAAACGGCCACAAACACATTCTAACCTATAAAAACAAGTTGATGACACTTAAAGAAGGGTTAGAACACCTATCCAAGAAATTAAACACAAGAGAAGAGTTTTTCATTCTTATTTTCATTTTTCTTGTAAATATTAATGTTTTAGTGAGCTTAATTTTGTAAACACCTACCTTGTGAGGTTTTTTTGTTTACATTCTTTTTACCTTTGTAAAATGGGAGTGATTCTATCTAAGCCATTGAAAAGATAGAGATTTGTAAAGGTTAACTCTTTATCATGTGAAAAAAAATTAGTGAATTTGTTAGAAAATCCTCAGTGAAGAGCTAAGGTAGTTGATGTAGACTTGGTTGAGAAGTCGAAACACTATAAATTCTTGTGCATCAATTTTCTCATCTTTTAAATCTCCTTAATCCCTAAATTTTTCTTTAATTCAATTCACCCCCTCTTAGCAAACTTATTCGGTTGATCTTTGAGCTTCTTAAATCCCAACAATTGATATCAGAGATTGACTCATTAGAAGGTGTAACAACCTTGAGACAATCCTAAAAGAAGCTTTTTGAATTCATGAAAAAACTGAGAAGATGGCTTCGACCTCCGACTTTTACTACATTGAAGACTCTCAACCGGTTAACAAGTCACATTATTTCAATTGAGCAAATTATGTCTATTAGAAGAATAGGATGATGCTCTTCATTCAAGCCAACGATCTTGGAGCCTGTAACTCAATCATGAAAGGATAATTCATTCCAACATGTGAGATTGAAGATTGGAGTGATGGAGAGAAGAAGAAGTTCCAACTCAATGCTAAGGCTGTGCACATTCTATTTTGTGCATTAGGCCCGAATGAATATAGAAGAGTATCCTATTGTTCTAATGCCAAGGAGATTTGGGACAAGCTCCAAGTCACTCATGAAAGAACCAATGACGTAAGAGAAACCAAAATTAATCTTCTCAACCATAGCTATGAGAATTTTAAGATAAAACCGGATGAATACATCAAAGCTATGATAGATAGATTTTTCGTGATTGTCAACGGTCTCAAGGGATTTAGAGAAGTGATCCCTAATGAGAAGCTTGTGAGGGAGATGATCTACTATCTCCCAAAGTCTTGGCAATCGAAGAAGACAATGATTATTAAAGCAAAGAACTTAAAGTCACTCACTCTTGATGAGTTTATTGGTTCTCTTCTCACTCACGAGTTGATGGTAAAGGAAGAAGAAGAATATGAAGAGAAGAAAAATAAGAAGAAGAATGAGGTAGCCATTGCCTTCAAATCCACCAATGAGAGTAATCAATACTCAAGTAAAGAGGTGGATGATGATGATGATGAAGAAGAAGAGATGGCCAATCTCTTCAAAATATTTAAGAGATTCATGATTTTTAAGGAAGTGAAGTATTAATCAAGCAAAAAAGAAGAGTCCCCGGTGTGCTTCGAATGTTAAAGAAAGGGGCACGTCAAGTATGAAGAAGGCATTTATGGCGGCTTGGAGTGATTAAGATGACTTCAATGATGAAGATGAAGTAAATAATCTATGCATCATGGCTATCGAAGAAGATTTTGAGGTATCATCTAACTCTTGTGGTTTAAATTCTTTTTCATTTAAAGGGTTACAAGATGCTTATGATGAGTTGTATTTGAAATTTGAGACCATGAATTCCAAATATAGATAATTAATTTCAAAATTTAAAGTTGAAAATGATATGATTTTGAAAGCAAAAGTTGATTTTGAAAAACAAAATGAAATTTTGAAAAATGATTTAGAGCTTTCAAAAGTTAAAATCAATGATTTACAAAAAAAATTGATTTGAAAGTTAAGCTTAAAGGTTAACAAAAGAAAAAGAATTAATTTCTAAAAACAACTCATTATGTTTAAAAATGGCAAAATGCTCGCATTGCCATTTTCACGGTCATTTGGAACATACTTGCCCTTTAAAGAAAGGAAAACGTTTTAAAATTAAACAAGTATGAGTTCCAAAAGGAACAAGGGACATTGAAACTAATGTTCAATGATCCAAAGCAATTTTGATACCAAAATCAAAATAAATGTCTCTTGTAGGAGTGTGGGAGCAATAGTGATGAAAGTTAAGATATTCAAATGCTCTAGCCACACTTGAAAAGGAATGAGTAACCTCTAAGCTCAATGTTTTTGTTTTGATTAATTGGTTGCCTATTTGTTGTATGCATGCATGAGTTTTGATTTTAAATAATTTTATGTTTTTCATTGTATGTTGAAAAGTGTATTATGATGGAAATTTTAAATTTTTTTAATGATTTTTAATAATTTTAGTTCATCATAATGAATTTTGGTCAAACTTGATTTTAATGCTTTGTTTTTATAAATTTTTAATTTTTTACTTTAATTTAAATGTTTATGCAAGTTATTTATTGCAAAAAATATCTTTCTAACAATTGTTATCAATTTTTCAAATGCATAATATTTTTGGATAGCTTTATGCACATGCATTTAAATTCAACAATTGATATTGCATAAAGTTTATTATAATTGGATATATTGAATTTCATGTGCTACTAACGTGTTTGTTCATATTTGGTTAAATTTAAATTTTATAGTCAAATTTTTTGTTTGTAATGCATTTATCGAGGCGGAGTTTTGATTTTTCAAATGATTTTAATGTCAAGTTTACCACTTACTCTTCATTGTTATTTTTGAACTTTAAATTTGAATTATTTTTGATATAACAAAAAGGGGAGAAATATAAGTTTGAAAAATTTAATTTCAAGAATGAAAAAGGAGGAGCTTTAATATTCTCCATATATTTCTCTTTTTTATTTAATGTTTTATTAAGGGTGAGTTTTGCCAAAAATAATTTTCCAAATGTTTTCTTTATATAAAAATGGGAAGATTGTTGAACCATGTGTTATAATATTTTGATATAACAAATTAAGGCAACGTGTTTTTGAACTTGAATTAAATTTGTTCAAAGTTTTCAAAAATAATTCAAAGTCTATTAAAATAGAATTTGAGCATAAAATACTTTTCTGGATATGTAGTATCGATATTGTTCTTATAGTATAGATACTGCATGAACAATACCGATAATGTTCATGTAGTATCGATACCAAAGGTAAGAGAAGTATCAATACTTTATAGGTAATATCAATACTACCAGTTGTTTTTCAAATAGCTTAAATTACATAATGCAAAATAGGTACCGATACTTAAAAGGGTATCGATACTGCTTCACATAGTAGTATTGATACCATGAGCATAATATCGATATTGGTCAAGCCCAACGGCTAGTAACAACTAGTTAATTTAAAAATTATAAAGGAAGTACCGATACTCATTAAAGAAGTACCGATACTCCCTTTCCTGGGCAGTTTTATTTTGCAGAAAAATTATCCCCAACAGCTAGAAATGTCCACAAACACATTCCAACCTATAAAAACAAGTTGAGGACACTTGAAGAAAAGTTAGAACACCTATCCAAGCAATTAAACACAAGAGAATAATTTTTCAGCCTTATATTATTTTATCTTGTAAATATTAGTGTTTTAGTGAGCTTAATTTTGTAAATACCTACCTTGTGAGGTTTTATTGTTTACATTCTTTTTACCTTTGTAAAAGGGGAGTGGTTTTATCTTAGCCATTGAAAAGATATGGATTTGTAAATGTTATCTCTTTATCTTGTGAAAAATAAAGAACAAATTAGTGAATTTGTTAGAAAATCCTTAGTGAAGAGCTAAGGTAGTGGATGTAGACTTGGTTGAGAAGTCGAACCACTATAAATCATTGTGCATCAATTTTCTCATCTTTTAAATCTCCTTAATCCCTAAAATTTTTCTCTAATCCAATTCACACTCTCTTGGAAAACTTATTTGATTGATCTTTGAGCTTCTTAAATCTCAACAAAGATGTTTTTAAGTATTCAACTCACCTAGTTCAAAATTCGATGGTAACTCCAAATCAATTTAATCAAATTAAATAAAAAATATCAAATTCTCCCAAATAAGTAGTAATTTAGGATTTTCTTTTAAAAGAGAAACTTTCTTTTTCATAAACATTACGACAAAACCAGCGGCCATGTGAATTATTTCAAAATCCTTCCTAACAATTCATGTGCTATAAATTTCACTTTAAGCATCGTGAAGTTGCAAAGACGAAAGGTTGTAGAATTCTTTCCTTACTCCACTCTTACTTTCCACAGATTTTCCATCATCTCAAATTCATGTTTTGAATTCCTCCTCTCTCCTCTGAAATTCATCCATGAGTGAGATTCGTATTTTCTCTTATACACTTAGGGATGAGCATGGGTCGGGTTGGGTCAGATTTTTGGTCCACCGACCCGACCTGAGAATAATGACTCCTTCATCCGAGACCCACCCGACCCGCATGAAACAATATTTCACCTGACCCGAATCTTATCCGACCCGAAATAATAATAAAAATATTATTTTTATTCAATAAAATTATTATTTTTATTCAATAAAAACAGTGATTTGATTGAAAAAAGTAATATATAAAGGGGTATTATTATAATTATTCTTAAATATATAATGTGAAATTATATTTTTTTGGGTCAAATATTTTTCACCCTAAATCCGAACACCATTTTTTTTTAAAAATCCGACCCGACCTAATAGGGTCGGGTCGGGTTCGGGTCCCATGTCCATCCATATATGCCCATCCATATATACACCCCACCTACACTTGTTTTTGTGTGATAATAGGGCTTTAACCAGTCCTAGCCCCTTAGCTGGTTCCGTTTTTCCTTCTGGTGCTTTTTTGGGAGCAAGGAAGCTTTCTTTGATGGGCTTCGTTACTTATCTTCCATTTCTAGGGCGGTAAGCTTGTTTTATGAAATGGGTTTTTAAAATGACCGTGGAAAGGCTTTCAAAAGAATGATGGGCCTGGGGCATTGGGTGTTGGCTGAGATTATGAACCGGAAAAGGTTTTGTTTTTGGCTGAATTTAGACCTTTAAAACAGGAATGGAAAAACAAGTAATTAAAAAAGCACAAAATATATAAAAATAAAGAATAAAAGAAGCTTGATGATTGAATTAAACCCAATACCTAGTAGATAAAGTATAAACAAAGCCTCGTAGAATTGATCATTGGTACGTGTTGGACAGAATAATGGCATGGATGATATTTTTGAAGCAAACGGGGTTGCATAAAGCCTAATATTATCCGGAAATGATATTCTAAATGGGCATAATAGGGAAAGATGTTGAAAGTCCACATTTATATCGATTAAGAACGGGCTTGGCTCCCAGTTCCACAACATTAAATCAGAAATAGTTTGGGAAAGGTGGAGAGTCACTAAACCGTTGTACCTAAAATGCCCCCAGGGTTGATATTAGCTGAAATATATTCTCCAACTAGGTGGTGCCTTGTTTGATTAAGACGTTTGTTTTGCTTGTGAATCAGCCCTCCTCCAACTCCGATCAATCACACGCTACCAAAAGACTGATAGATCCAAGAAAAAGAAAGGGAAGAAAATGTTGTTTTACTACTAAATAAATTGCTGTTAAATTGGTTGGTGTAATTTGTGTCTTCGTCTTGAGAAGGATTGGAGACCATGCACTTTATGCAAAACCTTTGAACAAAAGTCTTCCCAAATATGACTGCCTCAATGACCTTGGAATCCCTCTTTTTACTTCAATAGTTAAAAAAATACAAATTAAATTAAAACAATGAATGGGATTTGGTTTTGTTTGGTATAAACAATGATGGTACGTAAAGAAAGAAACGGTTCAAAAAATTAAAGGAAAAATTCTAAAAGGGGCAAATGCAAAGCATGTAGTAGTTAACAGCATGCACTTTGACAGCTTAGATTAGACAAGAATAAGCTTACAGAAATTGGTTGGGGAATTTTATAATTAAAGGTTCTTTTCTCTGTAGTTCTATTGGCTTAAGTTAAGCATCAAGGAAGAAGAATGATTACACTAGTAAGTAAGACTTGATTAATCATTAAGCAACTCGCATTAGAAAAAATAGTATCATTATATCTTTAGGGTTATCCCACTTGCAGCATCCAAACAGGACATATGCCTGTAGCTGGCCCAGGTGAGCATTTGCCACCTGGAAACAGAAAAAACACAAAAGATCTGTCTACTGGTTGGATAAATATAAACATTAGTTTTAAGAGGGACCACTGCCTGTTAGAGGAGATTCCCACATTTTACCTCTCCTACTATATGTTTTTCCCGAGTTACATTAATGAACTAATACCATAAAATGATTTCGTGTAATAAATTTTCACCGCTAAACTTGGGTAATTCTTCAAGACTAGCAGTACTATATAATTAGTATATCGTTGCGAATCCTCGAGAATCTCGTGACAACTGACGAACTGGGTAACATATATATTTATTATACTTGGTAAAGAGTATCTACTCTTTCAGACTCAGACTCAGACTCAGACTCAGACTCAGACTCAGACTCGGACACAACAAAGTTTGGTAGCTCTTTTTGAATCGGTTAGAAAGATGCCAAGCAATGGACCTGACCTGGCATTATGATAAAGTGGCGGATTCCAATGTAAAGAACAATTCTACATTTAAGGAATTGGTTTGAGGTCCGTCTCTCTTTTGTTTACAATTTCCAACACCGCACCACACACCAAATATTTGGACTGTCTTGTCTGTCACTGTCACAGCCACTTGAGTTAAGACTTAAAAGTGAGAGAAAGAGTGAGAAGAGAGGGGAAAAAGGGAGAATAGAAACATGGGAAAATCCACTTCCTGTTTCAAAATCATCACTTGCGGCGGCGATTCTGCTGAAACAGACGACGTTATTCATGTTCCTCAGGCTGAGGTATATATATGTGTGTATACATAATACATCCTCTACGTATTTACGACTGCCGTTTCTCTTTTTGTTGTTTTCCGTTGGATTAGGATTCCATTCTACCTTCTGTTTCGACTTGCATTTGATGTTTTAGTTACTTTAGTTAATGCTTGAGTTTAAACCAGCTAGTTCATTGTTTAACTTGTAGATTTGCTTGTGGAATCGGATTTTTTAAGCTTGTTTTATTGCACTGCTTTATCTGATAACTCGTCTTTGCATATTTACCAGCAATGTCGAAGATGCCTTTTAAATCTCACTACTTTCGGAATCTCTGCTATGCAATTGTTATTTAGTTACAGGTTTCAAACATAAGAAGCTTTTTAAAATTTCTTATCTTTTTTAATGGTTTTTTTTCTTCATATATGCTATATATCGTAATGTGCAATAATGCTAGATTCTTTACCTTTTTATTCCCGTGTTTAGTGATTCTATCGATGATTGCAAATGACTGACAATTTTCAATTTCGAAAACTCAACCTTACGATGTGTTTCTGTCTCTTGGACAAATGAAAATTCAGTAGTAGACGAATCGATATGCCCTCGTTAGGATTCCATAGTTAGTAGTGATGTACCAGTTTCTATTGAATACGGTGATTATTACAAGTTGAATAAAGCAGTACTTTCTGGGTAGAAATTACAATCAAGAGCATCTCAATTCATATAAAGTAGTGCCATTGTTTTCTTTAAACACTCCCTCTTTTCTCCATGATTCCATCTCCTTTTGAGCTGAATTAGGCTGTTCAAATTTCCTTCCAGAGTAAGAGACCAAATGATAAAAAGGGATGGAGCTTTCGAAAGAGATATGATCATCATCAGGTGCTTAGCAACACTGTTATACAGGAAGCAACTTCTGGACTTGAGCAAAGTTCGGAATTTGCCGGTTTCAATTTTCAACATCCCGATGCATCCATTGCTCCTGAGAAAACTTCATCCATTCAGTACAGTGAAGAGAAACCTCAGGTGAAGACACCAGAAGAGTACATTGAAGAAGGATCTATGTGTGTAGGACCGAAAGAGTGCACTGAAGAAAAATTTCAGTTGCTTACACCTATGGCATACAATGAAGAAAAATCTCAGTTTCTTATACCTATGGCATACACTGAAGAAAAATCTCAGTTGTTGACCCAAGAGGAACCTAAGATGCCTGAATCTGTTCCCATCACCATAAATGAGGCTGAAGACGATGCCAACCTTGACGAATCTGTTGTTATTATCATACAGACTGCTATCAGAGGGTTCTTGGTAAATTATTTCTTTCCCAATGTGGATTTAAACTTTCCAATTCGTAACTTTCCGTACAATTTATATTATGCAATCATTTTCAGGCACATAAAGAGATAGGAAAGCTCAAGAATTTAGTGAAGTTGCAGGCTGCTGTAAGGAGACACTTGGTTCGGAGGCATGCTGCGGGGACATTACGTTGCCTTCAAGCCATTGTCAAGATGCAAGTTCTTGTTCGTGCTCGTCTATCGCAAGAAGGGCTTTATGCTGAAAATAGGCTGGATGGCAAGCTCCATAATGACAATCAAAATTTGGTAATTCTGAAAGCTTAAATCAATTATTAGGAATCATAGCTCACTAGACCGTTTCCCCTGTATGTTCTGGTTAATATTTTACTGATTGGTGACATGCTTTCTTTCACTTTTAGGATTGTTACAACATTTTACCTTTTAGTCTTTGCATCTATGATTGCTTATAGTTAAGTATATAATCTATGAGCATGTTCTATTTTCAAACACCAATCAAATTTTAAACAAGGGCCGGTGGACAGCGAGTTCTCTGTAATTTGCAAAATCATACTGTTCAGAGAGAGGTGAATCTAATAGGATTTTATTTATTTTCTGGCTAGCTGTGCAATACATTCAGATATTACAGGCTAATGTCCCTACTTCCATGATGTTCGTTTAATCAATTACACTTTGTATATGACAAAACGTAAATCACCTTGAAATATGTAGAGAACAGTATGTTTAGGAATTTTGTGCAATATGTTTCTTTCAGTAATTCCTATTTTTTTTAGTTTTAGCCATCAGTCTTCATTTTATTCCTGAAGCAGGGAAGCTCAGCAATAAAACAAAATGCAACTTATACTTCCATAGAGAAGCTGCTTAGCAGTAAGTTTGCTCGTCAGGTATGTTATGTCAACAGTCTTTTGCTTCATTTAAAAAAAAAACTGTTTGCTGCCATCTATCTGCCAAACTATGTCTACGCAGTGTACTCAGAATTTGCTTTGATTGCACTTGCAGCTGATGGATTCAACACCCAAGAACAAACCTATCCACTTCAAGTGCGATCCATTGAAACCAAACTCAGCTTGGAGCTGGTTGGAGAGGTGGATGTCTGTGCCATCACCTAAATATTCTTCGACCGTCAAATTAACTATGGAACAACCAGAATGGGAGAAAAGCAACAATTATGAGACTCCGGTTACCGCAACAGTTCCATCTGAAGAGATCTCCGAGTCAAACGAACCAAAAACTGATGTACGGGAGACATTGGTATCATCAGAGAGTGAAGAGAATCTGATCACTGACAATGCAGCCAACTTTAAGTTTGAGGAATGCGAGCGAACTTCCTCTCCAGTAATGGATGATATGGACCAACCTCGGAGTGACACTATTACATCCGACCTAAATGAGAACTCTCAGGAGATAAACTCACAAGATCAAATGATGCAAACGGATGCACATTCTCAAACAGTGGGCAGTTGTCTTTCTAACAAGCTGGAAATAGAGAGTGAACAATCCAAACATTCTACGAAAAGATTTGCTTCTGAACAACTGGAAGCAGAGCCAATGAAATTTGCATTTGGGTCAAGAAAGGTAAGTAGTCCTTCATTTATTGCTGCTCAAACAAAATTTAAGGAGTTGAGTTCAACGGACAATTCAAGTAGATCGGTTGATTCATCCCACCTAGATGTTGAAGATGAATCAAACTTGGATACTCTGTCATCTGAGGCAGATACGATAAGCAGGTCAACCAAACGAAGCATCACAGAAAATGCAGTCAAGAATAGGGGGGTTCAATGCAGTGACTCTGAATGTGGGGCTGAAATCTCTATTACTTCCACTCTCGGTTCACCTGATATATCTGAAGTTGGAACCATAGGATATGAATATGGAGCAAAAGTTTCTGAGCAAGAAAATTTTAGTTCTAACAGTATTAAGGATTTGAATGTTAAAGAAAACAATACAGGATCAATCAGAATGACTGATTCTTCTCTGTCTTTTGCTGATCAGCCAGATTCTTCTCCATCTATTGCTGATCAGCCCAAGAAACTGGATGATGCTAGTGGTGCATTGGCGAATTTAGTTGTTGCAGACTCCCCTCAAGTAGCGCAGGAGCCACCGAAAGGCACACCTGATCTGCATAGAGATCTGGATTCTGAGATGGGTAATCAAGCATACATATTATCCCCAGAAGCCTCGCCCAAGTGCCATATGATTGTTCCAGAATCCCAAAGAACACCTTCTAGTGAGGTATCAGTGACAGCTAGAAAGAAAAAGGACAAGAGCTGTCAAAAGCGCAAGTCCTTGTCTGCTGCAAAGAGTTCTCCATTGACTCCAGATTGTGATAGTGGAGCAAGAAGTAGTATGGAACTATTGCCCAAATATAAAAAAAATGGAAAGATACGTAATTCTCAAGGTTCAGGAAGACCCGACAACATTGACGGTGAGCCGAGAGATAGTAACAGCAGCAATTCTCTTCCCCATTTCATGCATGCCACGGAATCTGCCAGAGCTAAGGTTAATGCAAAGACCTCACCAAGATCAAGTCCAGATGTGCATGACAGAGACATTTATATCAAGAAGAGACATTCCTTACCTGCCGCTAATGGGAGGCAGGGTTCTCCAAGGATCCAGCGACCAATTTCTCAATCCCATCAGGGTGCAAAAGGAAATGGTACAAATCCTATGCATGTTATGTTCTTAGCTTACTCTTCACTTTCTTGCTTTAATTGTTGAGCTTCTTAACATTAAAATATCTTTAATTCTTACGCCTTGTTAGTACACTTTGTCCCTTTCATTTTAGATAATTGAATTTCATTCATCATTCAAGCAAGCAGATATCTGCTACTTGAATACAAGTAAGCTCAGATTAAACAATCTTATCAGGGAATTTACACCAAGGTGTAAAATCCCCCCCCCCCCCAAGTGATAAAGTTATGACTTAGTCCTAAAATAGAAAAGTTACAAGTTAATACAGCGATAACATTTCATTTTGATTCCCATAAAAAAATTATAGTTCAATTTCAGCCCTAAAAAACATTTATGGCTTCCCCCCTATCTTGTTTGTTTCAGAGAAATGGCAAAGGTGACGGGTTACCTCGGAGCAACCATATTTCACAGTTCCATGATATGCAACTTTTCAGATGGAGAAGTGGAGCTGATTGGAGGTCTTCTTATCTAGCTTTATGCCTCAGCATTTCTCCACTTAAGTTGATTCTGACAAACCATCTAGTGCTTGGCATGGGAGGAGATATATATAGAGTTGAGTTAACATTTTCTTGTTTATTTCTATTACGAAAACTATTGATATTGTTATTGTTTGTTTCTAAGCTTTACCCCTGAGAGGGGTCTGCTCGTGTGTTTGGCGTGGTGTTATTCGGGTTTGCTACATGTTTTCGAGACAATGATGCTTTAAAGTGGAGAGCTTTGATCAAATTTTCGTGTAATAACTCGGCCATTCTCTGTTCTTTCGTTGGCCACCACTTTGATGACTATGTTTTCATTTCAATTGTTTACGCTTTCGTAACCACCCCAAGAAAACACAAACAAAAATTACATGTACACATCTGCTATGAAAGCAAAACTTTACAAGATGCCCTTTTGTTTATCAAATTATTTGGTAATTTCGGTCAAATTTAAAGAACTGGACTAAGAGGCCCAAAACAAGAAAACCATGGACCTTACATATCGGCCCTTGAAGCCGAAAGAAAAGTAAACGGAAGCCACGTGGGCAAAGTTCTCTGACAAAGTAAAGAAGTCAACTGTTGACTGTGCCAAAGCAGAGACTTTTTCATCACCCGGCCGTCCTTTCATCGCATTCAGACGTGCAGTACAAGTACAACGAACGTGAACGTCCACCTACACGCGTCAAAAGACAGCGTGTGCCAGCGCTCCCTCTACTGGATACCCAATACAGAACAGAAGCCTAGAAGGAAAGCGCGAAAAAAGAGAAGAAAATAGAATAAATAGGGAAACAAGGTAGGGAAACAGGGGTGGTTCTGCGGTGCGGCGCCTACAAAACGGCTAATATACGGCGTGACCGGTTAAATAAGTGACCGGTTAAAATTTAGACCGGTTATGTTATATTATTTAACCGGAAATATTATAAAGTACAATAACATACTAGGTAGCGCTTATATAATGTAATAGGTAGCGCTTATATTTACCTATTTTATAAGTAAACCGGTATATTTATACCGATAGCATTGCAAATTTACCTATTACATTATATTATATTGAAAGTGTCCATACTTTTTATAAAAAGGATCGATACTTTAACAGTGTTTCATGTTTTCCACCTACAATATTAATTTAATAATTTCATTTGCACAAAAAATTATTTGATTGTTTTGATATTTTATAAAATAATATTTAGAATTTTTAATTTAATAATAATATATATCGTAACGTAAAAAATAAATCATTAGACGCCTATAATTACTAAATTAATATCTTAAAACTCACTCAAAAGATAACCTTAAATTAATGTTTTCCACAGTGAAAAAAGTATGGACACTTTTATAAAAATGATAGACACTTTACAATATAACCACTACCTATTACATTATATAAACGATACCTATTACATTATATAAGGGCTACCTATTACATCATATGTTTACCTATTATATTGAAAGTGTCCATACTTTTTATAAAAAGGATCGATACTTTTTTTAAAACTTATGTAATTTATGTTTCAATTTTTTTAACAGTGTTTCATGTTTTCCACCTACAATATTAATTTAATAATTTAATTTGCACAAAAAATTATTTGATTGTTTTTATATTTTATAAAATAATATTTAGAATTTTTAATTTAATAATAATATATATCGTAACGTAAGAAATAAATCATTAGAGGCCTATAATTACTAAATTAATATCTTAAAACTCACTCAAAGGATAACCTTAAGAACACTTGAAGAAGCAAGAGAACAACTATCCAAGCAATCAAAAACGAGAAAATCCCAACATGATAACAACTGAACATATCATATCAATGTTCAAACTCAAGTTGTAGATTTGATTTCCTTTTGCTTGGCATCATATGAGATTTGGATTTTGATTTCCTTTTGCTTGGCATCATATGAGATTTGGATTTTGATTTCCTTTTGCTTGGCACCATATGAGCTTTGGATTTTGATGAGCATCGGAAGTATTTCATACTTATGATTTGGGTGGTACTCAACTTATGATTTTAGTTGCTATTTGTTACATTTCTTGTATACCACCCAGATCATACGCCCGAAACGTTTCTGACGCTTTAAAGTTGACCAAAAAATAAAATGGTCGGGATTTCCCTCGCGTTTATACGTTGGAAAAAAACAATGGAAATTAGGAATAATCAATGATAACATGCATATTGGCTTGGGCTAATATTTATAGTGGAGCCGAAATATATATTGAAATTCAAACTCAAATTGAAATTTAAATTCAAACTCCAATTACATATGAAATGAATTTGAAATGCAGTGTTAAATTGAACATGAAAATTGCATAATTGATTCATACTGTTCAAGTAACATGCTTTATGAACCATCAAGCTAAAAGACAATATTGATTGAGTTCAAAGCTGAGTTGTGAGTTGATGGAGTTGTCACACTTGTCACATGGTTGGAATAAAGTACTCACATGCGAGATAGATTGTTTTGTTATACATAACCCATCTCAACGAAATTAATCCAAATAATGTACCCATAACAATGTTCAATTAATGTACCCACAACAATGTTTAATTGATTTGTTGTTTAATTTTCAATTTGAATTATTTGATTTAATAATTTCATTTGCACAAAAAATTATTTGATTGTTTTGATATTTTATAAAATAATATTTAGAATTTTTAATTTAATAATAATATATACCGTAACGTAAAAAATAAATCATTATACGCCTATAATTACTAAATTAATATCTTAAAACTCACTCAAAAGATAACCTTAAATTAATGTTTTCCACAGTGAAAAAAGTATGGACACTTTTATAAAAAGGATAGACACTTTACAATATAACCACTACCTATTACATTATATAAACGATACCTATTACATTATATAAGGGGTACCTATTACATCATATGTTTACCTATTATATTGAAAGTGTCCATACTTTTATAAAAAGGATCGATACTTTTTTTAAAACTTATGTAATTTATGTTTCAATTTTTTTAACAGTGTTTCATGTTTTCCACCTACAATATTGATTTAATAATTTCATTTGCACAAAAAATTATTTGATTGTTTTTATATTTTATAAAATATTATTTAGAATTTTTAATTTAATAATAATATATACCGTAACGTAAAAATAAATCATTAGACGCCTATAATTACTAAATTAATATCTTAAAACTCACTCAAAAGATAACCTTAAATTAATGTTTTCCACAGTGAAAAAAGTATCGACACTTTTATAAAAAGGATAGACACTTTACAATATAACCACTACCTATTACATTATATAAACGATACCTATTACATTATATAAGGGGTACCTATTACATCATATGTTTACCTATTATATTGAAAGTGTCCATACTTTTTATAAAAGGATCGATACTTTTTTAAAACTTATGTAATTTATGTTTCAATTTTTTAACAGTGTTTCATGTTTTCCACCTACAATATTGATTTAATAATTTCATTTGCACAAAAAATTATTTGATTGTTTTTATATTTTATAAAATATTATTTAGAATTTTTAATTTAATAATAATATATATCGTAACGTAAGAAATAAATCATTAGACGCCTATAATTACTAAATTAATATCTTAAAACTCACTCAAATGATAACCTTAAATTAATGTTTTCCACAGTGAAAAAAGTATGGACACTTTTATAAAAAGGATAGACACTTTACAATATAACCACTACCTATTACATTATATAAACGATACCTATTACATTATATAAGGGGTACCTATTACATCATATGTTTACCTATTATATTGAAAGTGTCCATACTTTTTATAAAAAGGATCGATACTTTTTTTAAAACTTATGTAATTTATGTTTCAATTTTTTTAACAGTGTTTCATGTTTTCCACCTACAATATTGATTTAATAATTTCATTTGCACAAAAAATTATTTGATTGTTTTTATATTTTATAAAATATTATTTAGAATTTTTAATTAATAATAATATATATCGTAACGTAAGAAATAAATCATTAGACGCCTATAATTACTAAATTAATATCTTAAAACTCACTCAAATGATAACCTTAAATTAATGTTTTCCACAGTGAAAAAAGTATGGACACTTTTATAAAAAGGATAGACACTTTACAATATAACCACTACCTATTACATTATATAAACGATACCTATTACATTATATAAGGGGTACCTATTACATCATATGTTTACCTATTATATTGAAAGTGTCCATACTTTTTATAAAAAGGATCGATACTTTTTTTAAAACTTATGTAATTTATGTTTCAATTTTTTTAACAGTGTACTGCGAATTTAAAATGATAATATACTTGTAGTTATTGTACATACCTAAATATGTACTGCGAATTTAATGTTGTACCCACCCTTTAACTACCACTACCAATGCCACATCCTATTGAAAGCAGCACGACAGAAACATGTTCAAAATGAACCTTCGTTTACATATCCATCAACTCCTGGAGCACTGAACTTGCACAACAAAATTTTGCCATGGATAATACTGATGTAGACAATGTTAAGCCAACCGAGGAATGCCATGAAGTACATAATGTTGATGAATCTGACAGATTGGTTGGTCAGCTCTTCTGTTCACGTGATCAAGCTTGGCACTTTTACAAGGGATTCGCACGGGAACATGGGTTTAGTGCACGTAAGGGAACAACACGGCTTGACGTGGAAGGGAATGTGAAGACACAAGAATTTTGTTGTTCCAAAGAAGGGTTTCGAGTATCAAAAGTCAATACTGTTGATCGTCAACGTGCTCATACGCCAGTCACAAGAACAGGATGTAAGGCTAGAGTCGTAGTTACAGCAACAAATACAAACGATCAGTGGGTTATAAGTAAGTCTGATCAGAAACATAATCATGCATTGTGCACATCTGCTATGACACCATTTATGCGTTCTAATCGAGCTGTAAGTAAGGCTGATATCGATGAGGCAACAACATTGAAAGAGGTCGGTGTTGGCACGTCACAAGTAATGAACTATTTAACGCAGCAGGCAGGGGGCTATCATAATGTTGGATTTACACATAAAGACCTCTACAATGCACTTCAAAGAGGTAAAGCAAAGGAAATCGTCGATGGGGATGTGAATGCGCTTATTGCCTACTTTGATTATAAGAAACATGATGATCCCGGGTTTTTTATGACATACTCGGTAGACGAATCGGGGGCATTGTATAATCTTATTTGGTCGGATTCTACATCGAGATCGGATTACACATGCTTCGGTGATGTAATTGCGTTCGACACAACGTACAAAGATAATTTGTATGGTCGACCAATTATGCCTATTGTTGG